CTGAGTAAGAACTCAGAGTTCTTTTATACTAAAAGGGGACCAGGTGTGGCTGGCCATTGCAGATTTCTTGGTGCTGGCCAGAACCCAGAAGGGATGTGATAATCCTTTGTTCTTGTAGCAGTCCACGTAGGTCTGGTCACGATATTCCTCCAACAAGACAATTGTTATTCTCTGTTCTGTACCTTTTTATCTCTATATGAATGGAAAAGTGTTACATCTTTAAAGGTCAAGCCTGGGAGGCAGAGCCTTGAGAAAGGGCTACTATGTGTATTTCAGGCTATAGGCATCATTCTTTCACAAAGGTGCAGAGCCAGAATAACTTAGCATAGCAAACAGGGCACAAATGTGAGAGCTAAAGGAATAGATCCAATACAGTGTCAGGTTTGTTCTTCTCTATTACAATTCTCCCCTGTCAATGTCCATTCCACAATCTTCTGGAAAAAGGGGTGATGACCACCCTGGCTACTTCCTGCTGAACAGAGGCCATGAAGGGGTGATTGTGTAATGGAATTGATCAGTTTGGGACTGGAAGTATTCCCAGGGCCCAGGCTGGGCATGAACAGTTTGCATTGGATCCCCTTTTTATGGTCCTTCACAATACTTAGACAAGCACTTGAATGTACACATAAACTTGGAATAAGGATACCCACGAAATTCTGCGCTATGCTATCTTTATATCTTTTTTTTTAATACAGCAGGTTCTTTATATCTTTAAAGAGGGTTATTTCCCCTCTTTGGCGACACTTGGAGATAGTTTTATTAAAGCATTTCCTTTCTAACAAGTGGCTGTCACCAGTGTAGTGAAACAAAAGAGAAGAGCAAGAGTCATCATTACTTATCTGGTAAGAGGCTTGACTTGAAACAGCAACTTAAGATCTTCTAATGTCCCACAAGGCCAAGTCTATTTTTCTTCATCCTGTCCAGTTTCTAGAGGAGTGAGTTCTACTCGGGTGTGGTAAATCCATGGTCTTATCCTGGCTAATTTATCAAAATGAGGAGTGGGTGTTCTGCAGCACCTTGTATGGTCCTGTCCACTTAGTGGCAAGTTGATGTCCCAGTCCTTGTTCTCTCCAGGTTTTGAGAAGGACTCAATCCCTGGGCTGGAAGGGGTGCAGTACCATCTCAGCTGGGTAGGTGGACCTACTGGAAGCAAATTCATGAACAGAAGTTCATATAGTGCCCAATTCTTAACATAGCTGTTGACTGCTAGGTCCTTTAAGACATCTACAGATTCTCCTGCCCAGGCGGACACCTGGAATGGCCTACCACACAATATTCCTGAAGGGCTCACTTCTGGGAGCCACTCTAATCCATAGCAGGGCAACGGGCGAGACCTTATACCAAGTTGGTCTCTTGACATATTTTAGCAATGCTCTCTTTGAATATGTGTTTCATTTTCTCAGTTTTTCCTATTGATTGTGGTCTTCAGGCTGAATGTAGTTTCCAACAACATGCAGTGCTTTAGATACCTGTTGGGTTATACTGGAGACAGTGCAACCATCACTTTGAAGGGTGCAGGCAATCCAACTTGGGCAATAATTTCCTTAAAGAGGGATTTAACTACTTCAGATGTTTTTTCTGTCCAGGTGGCTTATGCTTCCACTCATTCTGAAAAAGTGTCCACAGGGAATTCCCTGGCAGGTCAGTGGTTAGGACTCTGCGCTTCCACTGCTGGGGGCCCAGGTTTGATCCCTGGTCAGGGAACTAAGATACTGCATGCCATATGGCACGGCCAAAAAACAGAAAAAGAAAAAGTGTCCACAAACACTAACAAGTATCTGAAGTTTCCTGCAGCTTGAGGTATTTGAGTAAAGTCTGTCAGTCCTCAGTGGGGCAGGCTCCTCTATATTGAGTTCCCACCTGGGGGTGTCTAGCAGCAGTCTTTGGATTATTTTTAGCACAAATTTTAGCCTGGCCAAAGGCGGGGAAAGGTGGTCTGACACTTAGGCCAGGGGGAGACCGAGAAAGGAAATGGGGAAGTGGAGTTCCTCAAACGCCAGCAGGTCAGCCAACCCATAGCACTGCAATCCCAGCCACAGCTGGTCCTGGCCGGTGAGTCCATGTTGGGGATGGGGAGAAGGCAAGGTGGAAGCTTGCAGTGCAGCCCCACCCTCAGCAGAGCATAGGAGACCAGGGGCACACTGGGCACAAGCTGTGAGAAGGGCAGTGGGCAGCCAGGGAAGGTCTTGTGGGGGTGTGGTCACTGACCACGCAATAAACACGTGTGTTGAGGGCCCACTGGTGCCAGACCCTGGCTAGGCCCTGGGATAGGGATGGACTAGGAAGAGGCTTGGCCTTGGATATGACTCAGGCAGTAAGGAAGTGGTGGGAAGGCAGTGCAGCCGAGGTGGCTGAGATATGAGTTACAGTCAAAGAACCAGCTGGCCAGGGCAGGGAGCAGGAGCACGGTCTGTACAACAGGGCCCAGCCAGGTGCCACATCCCGCTGGAGCAGCCTGTGCCACTGCCCATCAGATACAGAACTTGGGCTTGACTGCAGGGTATAGGGAATCACTAGATGCCTTGAAGGAGGGAGGTGAGGGGAAACATAATTATTAAGTATCCATCAGGTAACAGGCACTCAGTAGGTGTTTTCTGTGCCAACGCCTCTCAGACTCAATGTGTTTACCAATTTCCTAACAATTTCATTAAAATGCAGAGTCTCTATATTCCATATCTTGTAATAACCTAAAATGAAAAAGAATCTGAAAAAGAATATATATATATTTGTATATGTATGTATAACTGAATCACTTTGCTGTACACCTAAAATACTGTAAATCAACTATACTTCAATAGAAAAAAAATTTTTAATAAAACAATATAGGCATACCTTAGAGATATTGTGAGTTCGGTCCCAGACCACCACAATAAAGCAGATATCACAATAAAGCAAGTCACATGAAAAAAATAAAAAAATAAAGATACATATAGAGATGAATTTTCTTTATAACAAATAAAATCTACAAGGCATCAAAAAAATGCAGAGTCTAATTCAAGAGGCCTAGGGTGGGGGTCTGAGGTGCTGCATTTCTGATAAGCTCCTAACTGGGATCACACTTTGAGGAGAAAAGCTGTAGCTCATTCAATCTGCGCCCCAATGCTGTCCAGTGAGTATTATCGGCTCCTGTTTATTGACAGGAAAACTGAGGCTCAGTTTCTGGGCTTGCCTGAAGGCACATCATTAAAAGAGCTATACTGTTCCCTGCCCTCCACCCATGTGAGGGAGATAACACAGCCCCTAAGTTATCACTCCCTCCAAGCCCCTCTTGGTCTGCTCCAGGCTTGGGTCTTCCAGGTCTGTAACTTCAGGCGCTCCTGTCCCAGCTGGCCTCCAGCCTGGAGTTTCTGAACTTGCCTGTGGCAGCATCTAAAGATAGTCTACCTCACAGGAAACCAGATACTATTGGCTAACTTTGCAATTAAAGATGCTCTCAGAGGGAAGGAAAGGGAAATACTCTCTGGCAGAGTCTGCGTGGGACAGGGCGGCTGATTGGCATATCCAGAGGTTCCCTTCCCAGGTCCAGCCCAGGTAGGACCAGAGGACTCTTTCAGCACCTGTGGGCGAGCTGGGTGGGGCACTGTGGTCAGAGGTCAAAGTTGGTTAATGATGCTGGTTTGCTTTACATGCCAACAAGGGAGACCATTTTCCAGAGGATGTTGCAGCCTAAATGTCCAAGGGGCTTGGGGGTGATGGGGGGCAGTGAGTGATTAGATTATTTATGATATGCTTAACATAGTGGAATATGATTAGAAGTGTTAGTAATTACGTTTCAGGGACATGGAGAGATGCTCAAAAAAAGCATCATTTAAAATTGCATCTGCCAACTGTTATATATGGAATGGATAAACAACAAGATCCTACTGTATAGCACGGAAAAGAATATATATGCATGCACACACATATATATGAATCACTTTGCTCTACAGCAGAAATTAACATATTGTAAATCAATTACAATGTCCTAACCACTGGACCACCAGGGAGCTCCCTATTATTTTTAAAAATAATTTTATTTTTTTTCTTTCTTATTCTTTTAGAGACTCACATTTAACTGTTTATGGGTGAAATGTTATGACATCTGGATTTATTTATTTATTTTAAAATATTTATTTATTTATTTGGTGTGCCAGGTCTTAGTTGCGGCACAAGGGATCTTTAGTTGCTGCATGTGGACTCTTAGTTGCGGCATGCGGGATCTAGTTCCCTGACCAGGGATTGAACCCAGGCCCCCTCTCTGCATTGGGAGTGTGTAGTCTTAACCACTGGACCATCAGGGAAGTCCCTGAATTTATTTTTAAATAATCCAGTAGGGCATGAGTGGGGAATAGATGAAATACTGATCATGAGTTGCTAATTGTTGAAGCTGGGTGATTAGTGCATGGGGGTTGTCTCTGCTTTTATATATGTTTGGAAATTGTATAATAAAAAGTTTTAAAAATAGCATTTGCATTTTAAATATACTCAACGTGAATATTAAAATATGCATAAAGATTGGATGGAAGAAGCTAAAAGCTAGCTGTGGTTGGTTCTGGGAAGTTGGATTGTAGATAGTTTTGAGTTTTTTCTTTCCTGTTACTTCCATGCTTTTTTGTGCCATCTGCATTTTTTTTTTTTTTTTTTTTTGTTGTGCTGTGAGGCATATGCTATCTTAGGTCCCCGACCAGGGATCAAACCCACACCTCCTGCAGTGGAAGCTCGGAGTCTTAACCACTGGACTGCCAGGGAAGTCCCAATATCTGCATTTTTTATAATGAGCAACTATTGCATTTATAACGAAAATTATTTTAATAACAAATTGCTGACGCACTTTGATGTTCAACGTTGATGTATGCTGTTATCATCATTGTGAGGACATTTGGGCTCAGAAGGTTTGTGTCATTGGAAAACATCATCTTCAGAAAGAAAGTATGAGTGGTCACACATGTGAGTGAATTGTGACTCTTGGCAGGGAAGAAAACCTATACCACATCTCTTTAAATATCTTCCCAGGCCCTCTTCATCTTTTTCCTTAAACCTATGTTCATTGGGAAACATAACACACTCAAAGGACAGGGTGCAGGTCAACAGCTTATAAATTGATCTGCTACCAAACCAACAACCAGGCAGCAGCAGAGAACCAGGCCAGCCCCCGGCAGCCTCCCTCAGGTCCCTACTTGATCACCACCCCTGCCCTCCCCAAAATCACCCCATTCCTGACTTTTATGGTCATTGCTTCCTTCTTTGTCCGTGTAGTTTTACCTCCTACATATTCATTCCTAAACACTGTGGATTTTCTTTGCCTGTTTCTGACCTTCACATATGTGGGTTTATATACAGTATGTCTGCTTTTTGGTTTGCGTTTTTAAAATGCATTTCTACTGTAGGAGATGTAGATGCACACACAGAAATGTTCATGACAGAATTGTTCAAAAACTGAAAGCCACCCAGGGGTGCATCAGCATAGAACAGATAATAATCGTGGGGCACTCACACAGTGCAATCCTATTCAGCAATAACAATGAACAGACCATAGCCACAGCAATAGCATGGATGAGATACTACCAGAAATGCTGAGATGAATTTACAGATAAATGCAAAATTGGCCCCTATCCACATGGCAGTTATCAAATGCATCACCACCAGACACAATTTCTTTTTCCATGAACAAGAATTATCGCAACATCATCAGTCATCCGTAAATTAGCTCAGACAGTGAAAAGGGGGAGATGGCCCCAAAGGGTGTGCTAGACAGGACACCCAATAAAGGTTTTTTGGCCTATTAAAGTCTTTTATAATTTCTCCTTATAGATCCTCAGTGTAGAATTTGAGGCTCCTCTGTTTTCCCCTCTTCTGCCTTCTCTCTGCATCCTTTCCTGAGCCCTCCACTCAGACTAAAGTGAACTTTCCTGAAGGCTCCGGGAACAGGTTGGCCCCTCCTAACCCCACAATCCTCACTTCCTTCTGTTTCTGTATAGTCCCTCACACCCTCTCTGCCTGGCCGTGGACCCAGGAAACCTCCTTATGCTCATACTCTCAGTGCCTTTGGCTTCAAACCGCACCACACCCCATGCCCACCGCCATCTTTATCAACCTGGAAGACCCTCCCAGCCTTTAAGACTCAGCTTAAATGGTCCAATCCTTGGGTTTCCCATCACTTTTCTTATACTCTTACTAAACAATAATAAAAATTCACAGAGACTATATCTTAGACATTTTTACCTCTACAGAATTGAGCACAGTGCCTACTGTTGGGGAAATAGAATGAAAAACAAAATCTCCAACCCAGAAAAATCTCTCCATGAATATGGTAGAGAAAGAAAACTCTTTCATTACTGAATAAGCATTAAATGTGATGTGCATCACAGGCAATCCGCTATGAGGTAGTAAAGACACAAAAAATCTCACCCTGGTATATGACCAGATACAACCCCTTACACACATGTTCTCAAGATACACAATGACTGGTGCTCAAGTAAGGGAACCTGACAGTCACACACAGTTCATCCCAAGTTTACCATGGTCATTGGGTTCATCATCTGTATTAGTGGGTTGGCTTCATCCAGAGGAGAAACAAACTTCTCATCCCTTTATTATCAGAGGTGGTTGTGTAACTTGGAGCCAGGTTCCTGCCCAAGTCAGGCTCTTGCCCTCCCTCTGGGACTGGGAGCCTGGGCACCTCAATATCTGCATCTCAAAGAGATGGCTCCCGGCTCTGAAGCTGACAGAGGAAATGATCACATTTTCTAAAGGATATGTATCCACATTTCAAAGAGGAAAGAAGGTACAATTACATGTTTTCTAAAATAAATACTCTAAGAAAAAGGAGGCAAGTGGACTCTTGTCCCTTATTTCCAACAGGGAGAATTAAGCCTCTTATTATTTTTTTTAGCTAATTAATTAATTTATTTTGGCTGCGTTGGGTCTTCGTTGCTGTGCGCGGGCTTTCTCTAGTTGTGCTGAGCGGGGGCTACACTTCGTTGCGGTGCATGGGCTTCCCTTCGCGGAGGCTTCTCTTTGTTGCAGAGCATGGGCTCTAGGTGCACGGGCTTCAGTAGTTGTGGCACATGGGCTCAGTAGTTGTGGCGCACGGGCTCAGTAGTTGTGGCACACAGGCTTGGTTGCTCTGCAGCATGTGGGATCTTCCTGGACCAGGGCTTGAACCTGTGTCCCCTGTGTTGGCAGGCAGATTCCTAACCACTGCGCCACCAGAGAAGTCCCAAGCCTCTTATTTTTAATTTTCACTTGTCCTTACACCAGTGTATGGTAAAGATAATTAACAGATATTGGCTTAATCAAAAATTAATTAATAAGCAAGTCCATCTCTTCTTCAGTTATTAAAAAAAGGAAAGTCATAGTCATTTCCTTTCTAAATTTCACAGTTCATTTTAACAGAGATAAATAAATACCATAAAGGACTTTGAGGAGGAAAGCAGAGGGAGGTGTGGCAAACCAAGAACAGGGGCAGGTCCTGTGAAGGGGTGGCTCACACACGAGCAGAGGTGCCTCGCTCCATGTGTGGTTTTCTCCTGTTACTGGTCTTGGCTTGTGGCGTGTTTTGGCCCGTATAAAATGCTGGTGGGTGAGTCACGCCAAGTTGTTTTAGGTGGACGCTGCTGCAGGAATAGAAAGTCACTCAATCTACTTGTGTGGAGGATGGGGTGCAAGTTGTAAAATGTGCCCACTGCTCCTCAGCATGGAATTCAAGGCCCATCCATCTGCCCCTCTTCTTCCTTCTTGGCCTTGCTCTCTCTGCATCCTAAGGAGGGGTCTCATAAAAAATAGCTGTCATTGTAAATTGGAAAACCATCAGGTCCTTAAACTCAGGGTCCCAAGTAGCCAGGGGTGTGGGCTTGGGGCCAGACTGAGAACCTTCCTACGTGGCCCAAGGTGAATTCCAGATTTGTCAGGACTCAAAATTAACTAATTCAGCTCTCTGTCTCCAAACAGAACCTCATCTGAATGCTGGCCGCCTGTGAGCCCAGAAGCTTCGCAGGCTGCTGAGCAGCCACTCTGTGGACACGAGGCCATGCTTCCCCTGACCCAGGACTCATGCTGCTCTTTAAAACTGTTTCCTTCTGTTCGGTCATTGTTGGAAAACTGAGCAGCCAGAGCTGGCCAGGCCCTCAGAGATGGTCCGGTCCAGGGCTTTCATTACATACATCAAGAAACTGAGGCCGAGCTGGAAGTGAGCTGCCCAGGGTCTGCCAGCTTATTTCAGGGTATGTGGACCCCTCTGAAGTACATGGCTCTGAAGAGCATCACTGTGTATTTGAAGACAGGAAATAAGCTGACCCTTTAGCCTTCAGCCTTTCCTTCTCCATAGAAAAGGATTCCCATTTCTTCACCACCATTGTTGAGAGCTAGGTTCTGGGGGTCTGGCAGTGAGGACCACCTAGTCATGGCTGGAGAGGCAAATAATATCCCTATCCCCTCCATTTCCCACCACCGTTTCACTGAGGGTCAGCCTTCTGGGTCCTGAGTCTAGAAGGCGAAACCCAGGAAGAGTGTTCAGGGTCACTTCTTGAATCTTATCCTTTAAAGGGGGGTCACCTCTACTATTTTTCAGTTCTCATTCTAGAGACAGGGCCTGCAGTAACATGCAGAATTCCCCTCCAAGAGGGAAAGCATGGTGCAGGGCAGGGAACACGGCTTTGTGAAGAGACGCATCTGGGTTGAAATCCTGGTTCTGTTGCTCCCTTGGACAAATTACCCAAATCTTTCTGAGCCGCTGGTGGTTATTTTGCAAGGGGGCAGAGTCATTTCCCATGAAGTGTTGTGGTGAGAATTAAATGGGGTCTTGTGTCTGGAGCATGACACTTAGCAGGTATCCAGGAACGGCAGCCTTCACTCCTAAACTGGGGCTTTCTGAGGATAACCTCAGGTTCTAGAACCTCAAGAGATAGTGGTACCCCCACGGGGAAAGTTGGGATCAGGGATCAAGCAATTCCTGAGTTTTGTTTGGTCCAAAGGAAAAAAATTAAGCCTCACAATTGGCATTAGACTGAACCTCAAACCCGCATGTACTCAAGGGCCTAAAAAGCCATAAAAAGAGAGCAAGGAAGGTAAACAAACAAACAAAAGAAGACTCATTGAATCTAGAAAACTAAGCAGGACGTGAAGCCAAAAAAGAGGAGGAAGCAACACGAAAAAGACGCTGGGGAGAAGAAAGTGGATGGGGGCCAGCTAATGAGAGGGGAAGTGTAGAAAAGGGAAGCTGATTGGAAACAGTGGGTAATGATGACCAAAAAAATAGTTAAAAAATAAGTGAGCAGGCCTGAGAAAAGGAAGTGACCGGAGGAAGTAGAACAGGATCAGCAGTAGAGCCTGCTTGGTGTTTTTTAAAGCAGGTTCTACAAAATTCATTTCAACTTGGGTGTGAAACCCATGTGTATTCAAAGCTCAGCTACTAGGTTCAGCCCAGACTCTCCCAGCTCAGCACCATTTAGTAAAACGTTGACTTAACAGAACAGAGGGTGAGGAGACCCGAGGACAACTGAGGAGACGTATGCAGTGCAGCCTCAGTTGGTGTGGTGGGACCTGTGTTAGTGCTTCACTCCGGCACCTATCCTTCCCCTTGCAATCCCGTCTATATGAACCTCGCTTAGTAGATGCTGTGAAGGCTTATTTCACTGGATTCTTTTTTTTTTTATTTCATTTATTTCTTTTTGGCTGTGTTGGGTCTTCGTTGACGCCCGCGGGCTTTCTCTAGTTGCAGCGAGCGGGGGCTACTCTTCGTTGCAGTGCGCAGACTTCTCACTGTGGTGGATTCTCTTGTTGTGGAGCACGGACTTTAGGTGTGCGGGCTTCAGTAGTTGTGGCACATGGGCTCAGTAGTTGTGGCACACGTGCTTCATTGCTCTGCGGCATGTGGGATCTTCCTGGACCAGGGCTCAAACCCGGGTCCCCTGCATTGGCAGGCAGATTCTTAGCCACTGCGCCTTCACTGGATTCTTGCACTTGGTTTCTGGTGTCCTCAGGGTCTGGGAGGCCAGTGTGCAGCCTGAGTGAAAGCCAGTTGATCTCTAGCAGCACTTTGACCCCAAGGGCATTAGTCCTGCTCTTGTCTGCTACCAGGAGGCCCTATCTTCAGGCTCCTGGCCCAACCTTGGGACATCTCAGAGGACCCAGAGATAAAAGGTCCACCCAGCTGAGGCCCACCTTTCCTGAAAAGGTGCCTGGATAAAGCTATCAAGTTCTAGATACTTCATGTTATTACCTATTTAATCCTCTCTGTAATTCTGAAAGGAAAGTTCGCTGCCCTGCTGAAGGGCTCCAGGGATATTCATGATGAGAGGATGGGGAAGGTGCAGGAAGAGCTTGGAAAAGGCCAGGATGTCAGAAATAAACAGGTGGCATGTGGCAAGGAGGTCCCCAGTCCCTCCCCTCTCCTTGCTAGGCACCTGGCTCAGGGCTGCCAAGTGTGTGCCCGTCCCCTTCTAGCCCACCTCCCCACTCTTCCCAATGACCCAGGGACACCTGCCCGAAGATTTGTAGGAGGTCCCTGTGTGTGAGGCATGCCGCCAAGAGTGGAACTCAAACCCACCACATGCAGATTTGGCAAAAATCAAGCCAATTCAAAAGCACCAAGTTCCTGGGCTTTCAGGACTGAACACAGGCCCAAAAGAGATGCGAATTGTCCTTGGACTCCTCTCGAGGTCAAATCTGCCAGCTCCTGACCCGGGGTGGGGGGCAGGAAGAGGGGGGGCTACCCCCAGCATCCGCAACTTAGGACTACAAGGGCTTGACTGTTTGTGTTCCTACACAGCTGACTGTCTGGGAAGATGGGCTCCAGCAACAAGTCACCTGCACCAAGCGGCCACTCCCGGCCGCCCGGCATCTCAGCTGAGCCATTTGAAACTGACATTTATGTCACTCAAAAATGGTTGCATATCAGCCATTTTATATGGTTCAACTTAACTTTTATTGATTAAGGTCATAGCCAGAGGCTCCTCTCTGAGAAAAGGGCATTGCAGCTGAAAGCAAAGAAAGCATACAGTTCCCTGGGGCTGAGAACTCCATCCCAGCCTGAGACGGCCCAGGTCAGAAAGGCTTGGGCCACTTCGCCCGGAAGAGTCTGGGTGAGACGCAGAGCTGGGCCAGGACACTAAGCACAGGTTGGGAAGGGAGAAGCAAAGCCCTGGCTGGGGGGGCCCTCGCCTTGGCAGAGACACCATCTTGGTGAAACCAGCATGAAAAGTATGTAGCGGGGTGTGGAAACTCCCCTGGTTAAAGAAGCATGAGCTTTGGTTTTAGTTGTGCTGAGTGGAGGCAGTGACGACCAGGAGGTGTGCACTGAGGTTTCTGAGGGCCTATCTTGTGGTATCACAAGGAAGAGGAGGGGGTCCCAGAGGACCAGGGCAAAAGGGCTCCCCTTGCAGCCTCTGGAGTGAATCTTGGCTGGGAGAAGAGGGGATGGACAAGTGTCACTTCCCAACCTGAGCAGAAATGTCTTATCTTTCTATTCTTGTCCAGAAAAAAACAGGAAAAGAACAGTGGGGAGGCCAGGTCACAGTGAAGTGCAGGGCTGGTAATTATCAGATTACTTAGCCCCCAAGACCCAGGGCAACAAGCTAACTGAGCACAGGCCTCCATCTGGGATCCATCAGCCCTTTCGTGACTGCAAAGGCCTGGGTGATGGTGACACTCCCTCTTGGAGTTGTAGGATGACTGACTATCCCAGCTGGCTTCGAACTGAGGGGTTTCCGACATGTGAGACTTTCAGTGCTAAAACCAGAAGAGTCCTGGGCAAATCAAGGCAAGGTAATCACCCTAGGGTGTCTGACTCTATGTCTTATCCCTTAAGGAACAGAAAGACTTAGTTGGTTCCAAGAGGGAGAGGGAAAGAAATGGCTCTCAAAGACAAAGACGAGCCTCTGGGTGCAGGCCTGCCCAGGGCTCCGCAGTGTCTAGGACCTCTCTCTTCAGTGTTCATGCAGGAGAAATGAGGGTGCAGAGGGCAGAGAGGTGGGAGAAAGGAAGCGGGTGGAGAATGGAAGCTTGGACTGGAAGTGTGAATTACGGCGTCCCCACCACCACACCCTTCTCCTCCCCACTCACTCGTCCTCTCTCCCCCATCCACACCCTGGTCAAGCTCGCTATCTTTCAGATAGACTTTTGAAAATCAAAGAAAAAAAGATCTGTCTCAAGCTTCAAAAGGCTTAGATTCAAATGCTAACTGAGCCATTTACTTCATAGTTTCTGGCAAGTCACTCAGCCTCTCAGGGACTGGTTTCCTCTCTGTCAAAGGGGTCTCTTATAGCCTCCATCACAGAGATTAAACAAGATAGCACGCATGACACTGGGAAAGGTACTGGTTAGACACCCAGCCAAATGTTTGCTTCTTCCAGTCTGCCTACGTAAGGGGCAGAATTCCAACCTTGTTTCTCTGAGAACTAATGCCACTAGTTGTCTTCCTTTCTCATCCAGGTGCTCACCATGCCCACCATCTCCCCTGAATCAAGTTTAGAAGACTTTGAGTATGATGAGCTTGCAGAAGCCTGTGATATGGGGGACATCGTGGCCTTGGGAACTGTCTTCCTGGCCATACTCTACTCCCTTGTCTTTGCCTTTGGCCTGGTGGGAAATTTGCTGGTGGTGTTTGCCCTCACCAACAGCCAGAAGCCCAAGAGCATCACTGACGTTTACCTCCTGAACCTGGCCTTTTCTGATCTGCTCTTTGTGGCCACCTTGCCCTTCTGGACTCACTATCTTATAAACGAGCAAGGCCTTCATAACGCCATGTGCAAACTCACCACCGCCTTCTTCTTCATCGGGTTTTTTGGAGGCATATTCTTCATCACCATCATCAGCATCGACAGGTACTTGGCCATTGTCCTGGCCGCCAACTCCATGAACAACCGGACTGTGCAGCATGGTGTCACCATCAGCCTTGGCGTCTGGGCAGCCGCCATCTTGGTGGCTGCACCCCAGTTCATGTTCACCAAACAGAAAGAAAACGAATGCCTTGGTGACTACCCCGAGGTCCTACAGGAAATCTGGCCTGTGCTCCGCAACGTAGAAATAAATTTTCTTGGCTTCCTGCTCCCCCTGCTTATTATGAGTTACTGTTACTTCAGAATCATGCGAACACTTTTTTCCTGCAAAAACCAAAAGAAAGCTAAAGCCATTAGGCTGATCTTTCTTGTGGTCATCATGTTTTTCCTCTTCTGGACACCTTACAACGTCATGATTTTCTTAGAGACACTCAACCTCTATGATTTCTTTCCCAACTGTGACATGAAGAGGGATCTGAGGTTGGCCCTCAGTGTGACCGAGACAGTTGCATTTACCCACTGTTGCCTTAATCCCCTTATCTATGCATTTGCTGGAGAGAAGTTCAGAAGATACCTTTACCACCTGTACAGGAAATGCCTGGCTGTCCTGTGTGGCCATCCCGTCCACGTCAGTTTCTCCCTGTCCCCGTCTGAATCACAAAGGAGCAGGCGAGAAAGTGTTCTGAGCAGCAATTTCACTCATTACACCAGTGACGGAAATACATCCATCCTCCTCTGAAAGCCTTGTCTCTCCAGCAAGCCTGGAGTTTCTGAGACTGACACTGAATAATTAGGACAGATTTTTAAATTTCTTACATGCAAGAAACAATGGGCCTGATGCCCAAAAGCAATCCTGAAAGTATTTTTTAGAATTGTGCTCAAAATCTGAATGATAAAGGATAGTCATGTTTCTTATTGCCAATGTCAAGAGTTTCTTGTTTACAAATTACAAAAATTCAACTCAGATTAATTTAGCCTGAAAAGAGGCAGTATCATTTGCATTGTAACATGGGCAAGGGGGTGGCAAATCCTCAGAGTGAGTGAAAACTAGAGATTGAATCTAGCTAGAACTTCTTCTCTCTGACTCTCAAATCTCTGAGTGGTAACAGAGATCCCAGACTCACATAACACAGTTTTGTCATCAGAGAGGGAATGAGACCTATATCCCTCTGATCCCAAGGTCAAAATTCCCAGGGAAGGGCTCTGATTGGCCAAGTTTGTATCAGATTCTCATCCTTGGACCAGGTGGCAGTATCCACAGGGAAGACATAGATAAGATGGCAGCTCCCATTCCAATCTTGTGGTTGGAGATGCGTGAAGACATATTTCCAAGAAGCTGGAGGGGTGGGTGCTGCTTTGATCAGATATAACAAGAGTTGCCCACCAACTTTACCTGCGTCTAGCCCAGCCCCACCCTGATCATACCAGCCAGCACACACCACCAGCCTCTTCGCCATTAAACCCCCTCTGTCATGTCCCCAAACATACAAAGGTTCCCCAGCGCCTACTGCATCAAGTCCAAGCTCAAATGCCTGGCCTCTGACACCCTCCATCATGTGGTTCCACCAACAGATTCGCCAGTACCTCCCCTTCACAAAGGACTCCAGCCACCTTGTCAGTCAGGTCTCTTCAATCCAGCCACATGCATCGCCACCTGCTCCAGAGCCCAGGGGCATAAACAGAAAAAACAGTGGCCCAAACTGAGAAGGCATGGTTTCTAGTCCCAACTCTATCACTTATCTGCTGGGTAATTTGGGGCCAGCTGAACTTCAGTTTCCCCATCTGTAGAATGGACATAATAGAACTTTTCATGTAGGAAGCATCCTTTCCAGCATGAGGAACCAGCCTCTAACTCTTGCAGGTTCCAACCCTCTTGTCTGGTTCCCAGACTTCAGCTTTTCCTCCACCTGGCACCGTGCTTAAGTGGTGCTGTTGACAGAGCTTGGAAGGGCCTTGCGGGCTCTGCTGCGTGATGTAGCTCAGACACAGAGGAGGCTGGCTCCTACAGTGGCGCTCAATGGACACTTGTAGATATACAGGTTGATAGCCTTTCCTGACCCAACCCTCCCGGACTGCCTGGAACATTTCCTCCCAATCAACTGGTGGCAACCCCATCTGGAGAGAACCCCATCATTCATGCCACTGCCAACCTGGACAGCCAGGGCCCCAGGAGCAGTTTTCCCTTTCTCAGTAAACATTTGGGATGGACTGAAATTTTAAAGCTTGAAAAACAATTGTGATGATGCTAAAGAAAATATCATCTATAATCTACCCACACAGTATCTTCATCTGCCCACCAGACCTCATTCACACTCTCATGTGTTTCGAGTTGCAATCATAATGTACAGACAGTTTTATAATCTGCTTTTTTTTTTTTTGCGGTACGCAGGCCTCTCACTGTTGTGGCCTCTTCTGTTGCGGAGCACAGGCTCCAGATGCGCAGGCTCAGCGGCCATGGTTCACGGGCCTAGCCGCTCCGCGGCATGTGGGATCTTCCCGGACCGGGGCACGAACCCGTGTCCCCTGCATCGGCAGGCGGACTCTCAACCACTGTGCCACCAGGGAAGCCCGTATAATCTGCTTTTTTTTTCTCTTACCATTAGGCCACAAATAGCCCTCTGTTTCTATATAGTTTTGTAATCATTTCAGAAGACTCTGCCAGGTTGTGAACTCATTGAAGGCATCTGACTCCTTCTATTTCTCACTCCTTGGCAGTCAGTATATTTGTTTAACCAATGACAGAATGAATTATGTTCCATCAAGATCATGTACTGTAACTTACTCATCATTACCCTATTAATAAACATTTCGCTTGTTTCCAATATTTAGCAAACACATATTTTACAGCACTTTTCTGTATAATTTCCTTTCTCATCTTCAATTACTTCCTTTGGATAAATTTCTTGCCATGGGGATAATTGGGCCAAAGGGCCTGGGAACTTTTTAGCTTTTGACACATACATATGAAACTAATATACTGCAAAACCTTTATTGAGCATATATTACATGCAACATGGGAGCTCAGATCCAGAGCTGTTGCAAAGATCAGTGCGATAAGGCCTTCACCTTCAATGTTTAAGAGGTGCTTAACATTTAAATGCAGAACTCAGAAATTTACAAAAAAAGCATGCTCTGCATTAATTGGTAACACAAGAGCAGTGACATCTGACCTGAGTCTTTAAGGATCTTAGGACCCTAATCTTAGGACATCTGACCTGAGTCTTAAGATCTTAAGATCTTAAGGGAAATGTCTGAGAAATTGAAAGGCATTGGGAATAGAGTATGTGGTGGGAAGCTTCCGAAGCTTTGGCTCAGACAACCAATGGAAGAGGGTGTTCTCGGAGTGTTCACAGTTTACTCCCTTATTACCTGATCCTTGTTCCAATTGTTGAATTATGAAACTTTTCATTAAAATTTTAACTTATAAGTGAACTCCCAAGAAAAGAGGAAAATATTCTTTTGGCTTGAGAAACAAAGAAGAAAGATAAACAGTTTCATTTCTAGAAGAAAATTAGATTTGTATCATAAGAAACGTTCATTCATTCATTTTGCTGAATAAGACAGAATAGGGAGAAAATAAGGAAGGTCATCGAAAAAACCTAAATAGCACTGATGTTGGTATCTAAGTAAAGGAAGGCACATTTGAAAAGGACAGTTGGCCCTAAGAGCACAGCTGGATCAGATCCACCACAGCTTCTGGGCTCTGGGCTTCCCCAAAGCAGAAAGAAACTCCAAATGCAGACAGACATCTATGACTGAGTCCCAACCTACTGACTCTGTGCTTGGGAAGGTATTTGACGTCTCTGAGGCTCAGTTTCTTCACCTGGAAAAAAAGAATAAACATGGTGCCCACCTCCTAGGGTTATTATGAGGATTTAGTAAGACTACCTTCACAAAGCTCACAGCACAGGCTTGGAAAGCATGGTCAAATAAATGGAGGCAACTATTTTGATTCTTTTTTTTTTCTTATTATGATTAGATTGAATCTTTCCCAGTGAGGAAACTCATACTATGTTGCCCTTGCCATCTTGCTTTCTTTAGTCCCAGAATCACAGAATTGTGGGTGGTCAGAAATAGTTGAGTCCAAACCCACACTTTGCAGGTAGGGGAAAAGAGGTCCAGAGAAGGCCAGAGACTGGCCCAAGATCACACAGCAAGTTAATCAAGGAGGTAGATAACTCTTAGTTTACTGACTTCTTTCTCCTATTGATAAAACTATAGACCAATCTTATGGTGACTACAGTTAACAATACTGTATTGTATATTTGAAAGTTGTTAAGAGAGTAGATTTTAAAATTTCTCACCACACACAAAAAAATTGTAACTATGTGAAGTCATGGATGGGTTAACTAACCTTATTGTGATAATCATTCTACAATATATACACATATAAAATTATATATAGAAACCCTAAAGACTTCATCAAAAAACTGTTAGAACTAATAAACAAATTCAGTGAAGTTGCAGGATACAAAGTCAATACACAGAAATCTGTTGTGATTCTTTACACTAATAGTAAACTATCTGGAAGAGAAATTAAGAAAATAATTCCATTAATAATTGCATCAAAAAGAATATAATACCTAGGAATAAATTTACCAAGGAGGTAAAAGACCTGTATATTGAAAACTACAAGACATTAATAAAAGAAATTGAAAAAGACACAAATAATGGAAAGATATTTCAAACTCATGGATTGGAAGAATTAATATTGTTAAAATGTCCACACTACCCAAAGCAATATACAGATTCAAATCAATCCCTATCAGAATTCCTTTTCATGAAACAGAACAATCCTAAAATTTGTATACAGCCACAAAAGACCCCAAATAGCTAAAGCAATCTTGAGAAAGAGGAACAAAGCTGTAGGCATTATGTTCCCTGATCTCCAACTATATTACAAAAACTACAGTAATTAAAACAATATGGTATTGGCATAAAAAGAGACACATAAATCAGTGGGTCAGAATAGAAAGCTCAGAAATAAATCCATATATATATATATATATATATACATGGTCAATTAATTTATAACAAAGGAGCCAGGAATATACAATGGGGAAAAGACAGTCTCTTCAATAAATGGTGTTGGGGAAACTAGACAGCTACATGCAAAATAATGAAACTGGACCACTATCTTACACCATATGCAAAAAGTAACTCAAAATGGATTAAAGACTTGAATGTAAGACCTGAAACCATAAAACTCCATAGAAGAAAACACAGGCAGTACAACTATGTCAAGATCTTGACATAGGTCTTAGCAACAATTTTTTTAATCTGACAACAAAAGCAACAAAAGTAAAAAGAAACAAGTGGGACTACACTGCACTAAAAAGTTTCTGCAAAGCAAAGGAAACCATCAACAAAATGAAAAGGCAACCTATTGAATGGGTGAAAATAACTGCCAATCATATATATGATAAGGGCCTAATAACCAAAATACAGAAAGAACCCATACAACTCAATAGCAAAAAAAAAAATCTGATTTTAAAATGGGCAGAAGATCTTAGTAGACATTTTTCTAAAGAAGACATACAGATGGCCAGTAGGTATGTGAAAAGATGTTTAACAACATTAATCAGTAGGGAAATGCAAACCGAAACCACAATGGGATATCACCTCTCACCTGTTAGAATGGCTATTATCTAAAAGATGAGAAATAATAGTTGTTGGCAAGAATGTGGAAAAAAGGGAACCCCTGTGCACTGCTGGTGGGAATGTAAATTGGTGCAACCCCTATGGAAAACAGTATGAAGGTTCCTCAAAAAATTAAAAATAGAACTACAATATGATACAGCAATTCCACTTCTGAGTATTTATCTGAAGAAAATGAAAAAAATAATTTGAAAGGATATATTATCCCCATGTTTATTTCAGCATTTACAATAGACCAGATATGGAAACAACCTAAGTG